AACTGCCTTCACTAACTCAGTGGAAGAGCTGGCTAATACGGAAAATCTACAAAGAAAACTACTCCAGAACACTGGCTTTTTATTTCTTCTTACCGTAGTCAGAAACACATTTCACACTGCAGCTGAGTACACACACGCTGAAACAAAAACAATACTTACCCTTATTATGTGCAATACTCTGTTATTTTCTACTTACTTTCTAATAAATGCTAGCCACAACCCACTAATTGATTTCACAATCTATTAATGGGTCACTGTTTTGAAAACACTATTCTAGAATCTGCTGGGAGATAGTATTCCCTCATGGGAGAAAGGGGCGACTGTGGGGAAGAGCGGGCGTTGCTACCTGGTTTTCTGGGTGGTGTCCTCTCCCCTTTCTCCTCTCAAATCCTTGGTCATCAGCCTGGCTGCTCTCATCACTCCTGCATCTTGCACCTTGGCACTCATGCAAAGTTCATTCTTACCCTCACCAACCCTTCAAGCTAATTCTCTATTTTCCCCCTTTTTTTCCAAAGACCACCTTGACTTTCCACCCAATCCCCCCTAAGCTAGCCAGGCTGACCCACCCCATGAGGCAGCCTCACTCTGCACAGCCTCCCCACTCAGCAGTGTGAACCCCTCCAGCTTCACTGAGCTGCTCCCATCTCTGCTCCATTTGCCATCAACAGGCCTCGGTTCGCTTTGGATTCAGTTTGGTATTTGGTATCATCCCCCCAAGTTCTTATCTAATCGCTGTCCACTGAGAACATAGATAATGTATCATCAGCATGGTAAAAACAAAATCTTTGTGGTCAGACCAGGCCTCGCTCCCCCACACTCACCAGCTGTGTGACCTTGGGTCACTTAATTTCCCTAAGCTTGTTTCATTAGCCATAAAATTGGGAAAATATCTATTGTGCAGGCTTGTGAAGGGTAAAGAATCCTTACAAAATATTTGCCTCAGTGCCTGGCATATGGCAAGCACTCTCTAAATGTTAGTATTATCAGTATTATTATTGTTGTTGGTTGGTTGTTGTTTTTTAATATACCTTTATTGATTTCAAAGAGAGGAAGGGGGAGAGCGAGCAAGAGATAGAAACATCAATGATGAGTTGTCATTGATCAGCTGCCTCGATCTCCTGGATCCTAGGTTGATGTTCAGCTGCTGAGCCACGCCCAGCCAGGCTATTCTTGCCGTTATTTACTTTAGATTTTACCTACTAGCTCATCCCTTCTCCCACCAAAACCACACACCCCCAGTCCTCAAGGACAGATACTGGTTCAGAGTCTGAGACTGTCTACCCTGTAACCATAGTTCCCAGCTCCCCCAACCCCCTCCAAACCCCTACTATGTGTACACTGCACTCTCATTCTTTGCCATATCCATCTCAGTTAGGGCTTTCCCTGCATCCCATAGTTCCCTGCATGGCAGTTCCTGACAAGAATTATGCTTGGTGGAAGTGGACATTGCCACAGACATCAGTCCTGAACAGTTAGCTGCCTGGAAAGGCCACGGCTAGGAGGCAAGCCCAAGAATTCCATGCCACCCAAGCATGTCACAACCAGAGGCAGCTTAGTTTATCCCATTTAGCAAGGAGGGACTGAAGAGGAAACAGCTCTGAAAAGCAATGGAAAAAATGTCCTCGGGTGCGGATTAAAAAAGAAAAAGAGGAGCCGGTTACGTGGCTCAGGGGCCTCACCCTGACGGCTCACACCAGACTGCGTACAGCAACGTTCAGCCAAGACTAGAGCTTGCAGACCTGGTTTCATGAACTGTCTCCCACCTCACTGGCTCTGTACCTTGCTCATTAATCCCGTTCCAACATGCCTGGCTATGCTTTCGCTCCTTACCCCACCATGCCCTTGCCTTTATTCCTTTGATCGAGTGCATTTTTTTCCTTGGCTTTGGATGTCTTTCCAGCTTTGTTTGGCCTGTTTTTAGTTTAATGTACTCACAGATTACTCTAGTTAATCCCCTCAAATTTACAGCCCGATTTAACTCAACCCTAATTCCTTCTTCCTATAGGCGACTATCTTCCACCCCCTAACTCTGATCTGTTCTAGCCCCATGGATAAGACCATGAAAAGTAACAGTCTTTGATATAAATGACTCTTCAGAAAATAGGGTCTTCGGTTTATATTCTAAATCCACAAGCAAAACATCTGGGGCATGTGCCTTTACTCTGTTACCTAGAAAATAGTCACCCTTTCTTGGTGAGATTATATCTGCTTAGACATCACTTACGGCTGTGTCGGAGGTGGTGATTAACTTACCTTAAAACCAGGATACTCCGTCTTCAGAGAATAATGGTAAAATCATAGTAATTAAGAGCCCAAACTCTGAAGCCAGAACACTTGGGTCTAAATCCAGCCTTTGCAACTTACCACTATATTTTGAGCTTGTTTTTGTTTGTTTTTTTTTGGTTTTTGTGTTTTGGTTTTTGTTTTGGTGCTATTTAAACAAAACAAGATCTTGATCATATCCAGTTAGAAATATCATGCTCATTCATTAAGTTTTAGATAATGGCCCCTGCCCTGCTTTCTCTGTCTCTTAGCTTTCCCAGCTCCTCCCTTTTGAGGAATTCATGAATCCCTTAGTATATCAATTCAACTGCATTTTTTACTTGTCATGTTGTCTAGCACTGTACTGGGTCACNTCCCTTTTGAGGAATTCATGAATCCCTTAGTATATCAATTCAACTGCATTATTTACTTGTCATGTTGTCTAGCACTGTACTGGGTCACAGAGATACAAAGGTGACAAATCATGGACTCTACCTTTAGGATTATATATATAGCCCTAGCCACTTTGGCTCAGTGGTCAGAGCATGGGACCGTGGACTGAAGGGTCTCAGTCCGATTGCGGTCAAGGGCTTCTACTTTGTTGCAGGCTCGATACCTGGCCCCCAGTCTGGATGCCTGTGGGAGGCAACCAATCAATGTGTCTCTCTCACATTGATGTTTCTTTCTCTCTCCCTCTTCCACTCTCTCTGAAAAGCAATGGAAAAAATATCCTCGGGTGAGGATTTAAAAAAAAAAAAGAGTATATACACACACACAAGGGTGGGCAAAAGTAGGTTTACAGTTGTGAGTACATGAAATAGTTAATAAAGCTATTGTAATAATCATAACCTGCATGTCTTTTTCCATACAAACTGTAAATCTATTTTTGCCCACATATATAGACATGTAGACATATATACATGTATATTACGCTCACACACATTCACTAAAATGTTAAGGGTGCTGAGATGGGGCACTTTCCAAGGTGCACTGGAGCATTAGGGGGGGCCGAGTGAGTTTGCCTGAAGGAACGCAGTGGCGGAGGGTATGGAGGAGTAAAGGACCTCTACAAGGAAAAGGCTGAGGCTTGAGCTGGATCTTGAAATTGCCCTGCCTTTCGCTCACAGCCTAAGACCAGTTTCAATCCTGAGGCAATCTGAATAAGACAGTCTCCTCAAAAAAGCTCAGAAATGGCCCCCATGTCCTGGACTCCAGTGGCCTATTGAACTCCAGTTCCAATGGTTGGGACTCCCACCTTGCCCTCAGGGTCTCTCTGTTGTAATCAGTTAAGGAAGCTGTTATTATCAGAGTGACTCTTGAGCCCAGTGTCAGAGCTCTGTGATCTCCCCCCATAAAAGGCTCAGTCCTTAGTATTATGTTGCAAGCTTTATCATATGTAGCACGTAAGTCCTCCCCTAAGACCTAAAGCCTTTCTTTGAACTTTAGCTTAGTGACCAGGGTCTCTGCTGCTTATCTTATCCTGGCCAGCCCTCTTCTCTGCAATCTGAGTTTTGTTTTTATATCCCAGCTGGGGTTCTGCCACCATCTGGAGAATGATCTCCAGAATGGCCACCCCCTACCTCGGCCTGCTGAATTCCCCACTGCCGGGATCCCCACTTAACTGGAAAATCTAGCCCCAACTATGTCTGGGTTGTGGCTAACTTGTAACAAAAAACAAACTTTAAGTCAGGCTCCTCTGAGCCCTCTTGTTGACCAGATCCCAACTCTGGTGTCTATCCTATCTTTGGCCTACCAAGCACAGTTTTAGCAAGAATACTGCTAAGTAAGTTTAGTGAGAGTTCTCACCTCCACCCTTGAGATCTGATCACCCTTGAGATCTGATCAAGTTCCTCATCCTCCATCTTTGATGTCTAAGTCCTTAGCCTGCCTTTACCAAGAACCCTCTTAGGTCAGTTTAGCAGGAATACCNTCCTTAGCCTGCCTTTACCAAGAACCCTCTTAGGTCAGTTTAGCAGGAATCCCCCTNTCCTTAGCCTGCCTTTACCAAGAACCCTCTTAGGTCAGTTTAGCAGGAATACCATCCTTAAGTTTCCTCCTAGTAATTTTTCTATCCACTGACCCCCTTGCCCTGCTCCTTGACTATAAATCACTGCCTGTCCTTGCTGTATATGGAGTTGAACTTGATTTCTCTCCCCTATTACAATAGATTTGACCCCTATTACAATAGTGTTAAATAACATCTTCCTTACCATTTTAACAAGTGTTAGAATAGTTTTTCTTTAACATTTGCCATGCCCTTTGGACAATAACGATGGATAGCCCATGGCCCAGTAGACCTTTCCTCCTTGGTCTGCTCTAGAAATCAGGTATCATTCCAGGCTCTTGAGCTCCTCCTCCTAACCAGCCTCCAGCTGACACATGGGCAGCCATACAGCTCAGATCGAGCCAGTGACCTGAAAATATGGACCCAGAGAATATGGACAAACTTCACCTAATTCATTCATTCATTCATTCATTCATTCAGTCAGTCAGTCAGTCAGTCAGATAATCAAGGCATATGAATAAGTGTAAATGGTTTCTGAACATAAATATATTTTTAAAGAGAGTCCTTATTGGTATTATAGACATAAAATACATATACTCAAGGGATAAAATATGTCTTGTGCTCTTTTGAATAAAAAATCATAGCAGATGCAGATCTTTGATGCTCTAATGGTCCCATGAACAAACTCGCTGGCCTGTTTTTGGACAAAGAATTATTTGAAATTTTACCTCTTGGGTTCCAAGTATTTTTGTTTTTGTTGTTAATAGAGAGACTTTGTTATAAAAAGCCTCCTCACCTAGAGCTCTGGTGATTTTTCATGTTTTATTTATCTCTCTTATTTGGCTTAAAATAAGGTAAGGACTTGATAAAATTCAAAATGAACTGAATTTTGTGTTGTCGGGTTCAGAATTTTCTTCTTGAATCTCTCTCTTCATTGGGGCTGTTATTGAAGTGTTCTGAAGGAAGTGGCGTGTCAACCATTCATTGGTTCTCATGGCTTTGCAGTGGGAGCAAGGCCTTTGCCTGATTTGGTAACATCCCACATTCTTTTGTCTCTCAGCTGTTTTTCTTGTAATGTCGGCGGGTGACGGTTGTCCACTTTCACTCTCCTTCCATGAGGAGGCTCCCGAGTCAGATTCTTCACTGTCACACTCAGTGGTATCACTGTCACGTTGGGTCTGATTCACCTGGCTGAACTGCAAATGGTGCCTAGATCGTCTTCGTTCAAGATAGGCATTGACCAAAGCCACTTCTGAGTCAGTTGTAGGAGTAAATTGGCCCTGCTTTGGTTTTTTCTTCGTTTGTAAAGAGTCCCAGGCACCATCTTTGTTTTGCCACTTACAGGAAGTATCTTTGCTTGCTAAGGATCAATGAAACAAATCAACAAGTTAGGCACATTGTTGATTACTGTAACTTCACATTACCTAAGGAAGGCTATGGCATGTGTGGACTCACTCTTAGTTGCCATTTGCCAAGCTACCACTTTTCAACATTTATTTGCAAGTGTTGGCAGCCGATTGCATTTTCCAGTACCATACCAAATCTTCCAAATACTAGGAGGTAAAAGAGATGCTTGACATATTACTTTTGAAGTTTCATGGACCCTGATATGAGATCAAGGGAAAAGTCTCTAAACTTTTCCAGAGAAGGACCCTTTTCCCCTTTGAAGTCTTAAAGATTTAAGTGTGTATATGAATGTGATTTGAGTAGCAGGAAGCTAAAAATAATATTTTCTTTATACAGTGGTATGCTGGAATTGGCTGGTCAAGAGTTTGATAGCTAAGCTTTCAGGAATTTTGTGAGACAGTTGTTAAACGCAGCCATTAGTAAAAATTAAACTATTCAAATTTACCATTAAATCAGTTTATTACAAATAAACCTAATGCTCAAAACATCACTTCCTAATTATTTTATTATGATGTATGCTCTTGAAGCTATTTGTCTGTTGTATCTGGATGTTGGAAATACCATATAATGATGTGTGACTGTGCATCTCTTCCCAGCTCCATGTTCAGTGGCATCATGTTGATAACTTGAAATCGGATTGGGTAGAATAAAAATCAACAAGAATTAAAAGTCAGGCATTGGTTTATGGTTTTGTTGATTGTCTAGGTTTAAAGTGATGGAGAACATGGTACTAACATAGATTTATATTTAAGTGTCATGCCTGTATCCACTATATTGTGAATAGCACCCCCAAAATGAGGAAATATTCTTCCAGAGTATTCTAAAATTATTATCCAATTTTCAAAGAAGTCACTCACATTACTGACAACCAAGTTAAGTTCCAACATACATTTTCTTGTTTCTTTCATATTACTCTTCAAGGGAGAGTAATGGAACTACACTTGTTCCTCAATTGCAGACATAAGTTGGCTAAGGATGCAAGAGTCTGGTAAAAATCAAGGAAAGTATTTTGTGAGAATCAGTGGTCTGTATGGAATTTACCATAAAGAGTATTACACATTTTATTATTTGTAAATTGTGTGATATGCATCCTTTATATCAGTAAAACATTTTAAATGTGTACACACATACAAACATTTTTGGAGGGCCAGTTGTTAAACATTTTCCAGCACATCACTGCTTATAGGTTATTGAAAAAGATGTCATTTACAGCTCATAATCTTATTGTAACTCTAACCATAAAGTTATGTAAAAGGGAAGCTGTATGAAGGGAGAATGCTGAGGAATGAAAAGAGAACTTGAGCTTTACCTACCAGTGATTCATAGCCCTTACTAAATTAAAGTAACTCAGTTATCCTGAACTAAAGCAAGAAACTCACCAATGGGCCGCCACAGGTCTGGGGAGGTCCTGTTCACCTCTGCTGCTTGCTTTCCACACTTAGCACATAGCTCTCTCATCTAAGTCCAATACTAAATATGCACTGGCTCTCACCTTTACTTACTAAAATGTTTGTCCTACTGTCTTCCTTCTTTTTCTTCTCAGACATCTGTTTCAGAAACATGGTATTAGTGACAGTGATCTTACATCATACGCACCTTCAGATCATCCACACCCTCAAAGTCCCAATTAATGTGTACAGATGCAAAAGTTGGACAGTGAAGAAGGCTGATGG